AATTATTTTTATTCTAAGTTGAAAAACCAAACTTTGAATCCCTTTGATCCACTGACGGGTCATCTGGTGATACACGGGTCTCTGTGACTGGTAGGATGTTTATGAAACAGGTGATGGGCAAGGCACCTTTTCTCAGGAATTCTGTTAACACAATGTAAAAGGAGGTATGTGATTAAACTCAAGGTTCTCCCAAGGACACTCATTGTCTGATTCCTCTGGACTTGACTTTATATATCTGTTGTGGAATTGTAGGTCAAATACTCATTTAAATTTAACTCTAGTATAAATATACTAGGGAATATAAGTTAAAATATTGAAGACAGTCTTTTGTAAGCAGATTGAGAAATAACCTCTGTCATTCAGGACTTCCCTCCCTTTTCAGTCAAGACATACATAAATAATGGAAATATCTGTAAGCTACCCTGAGGTTAGTCAATGAGGGTACCAGAGGCCAGGCATGCCAACTAGCCCAGGCACTATGCAGCACCCCAAGGTGCACACCTGTAGCCCATCTGCAAATCACTATGCAGCACCTCAAGGTGCACACCTGTAGCCCATCTGCAAATCACTATGCAGCACCTCAAGGTGCACACCTGTAGCCCATCTGCAAATCACTATGCAGCACCTCAAGGTGCACACCTGTAGCCCATCTGCAAATCACTATGCAGCACCTCAAGGTGCACACCTGTAGCCCATCTGCAAATCACTATGCAGCACCTCAAGGTGCACACCTGTAGCCCATCTGCAAATCACTATGCAGCACCTCAAGGTGCACACCTGTAGCCCATCTGCAAATCACTATGCAGCACCTCAAGGTGCACACCTGTAGCCCATCTGCAAATCACTATGCAGCACCTCAAGGTGCACACCTGTAGCCCATCTGCAAATCACTATGCAGCACCTCAAGGTGCACACCTGTAGCCCATCTGCAAATCACTATGCAGCACCTCAAGGTGCACACCTGTAGCCCATCTGCAAATCACTATGCAGCACCTCAAGGTGCACACCTGTAGCCCATCTGCAAATCACTATGCAGCACCTCAAGGTGCACACCTGTAGCCCATCTGCAAATCACTATGCAGCACCTCAAGGTGCACACCTGTAGCCCATCTGCAAATCACTATGCAGCACCTCAAGGTGCACACCTGTAGCCCATCTGCAAATCACTATGCAGCACCTCAAGGTGCACACCTGTAGCCCATCTGCAAATCACTATGCAGCACCTCAAGGTGCACACCTGTAGCCCATCTGCAAATCACTATGCAGCACCTCAAGGTGCACACCTGTAGCCCATCTGCAAATCACTATGCAGCACCTCAAGGTGCACACCTGTAGCCCATCTGCAAATCACTATGCAGCACCTCAAGGTGCACACCTGTAGCCCATCTGCAAATCACTATGCAGCACCTCAAGGTGCACACCTGTAGCCCATCTGCAAATCACTATGCAGCACCTCAAGGTGCACACCTGTAGCCCATCTGCAAATCACTATGCAGCACCTCAAGGTGCACACCTGTAGCCCATCTGCAAGTCATCCTCACATACTGATCAAAAACTCTGCCTCAGTGTGAAATTTTATGAGATGTCCATCCTTTCCATCTTCATTACTGCCACATTCACTCGAAGGAAACCAATTTGGTCCTCAGTTCAGTTCTGTTTCCTATTTGGCAATGTATATGATTTGAATTGAGAGAAATTATTCTTTACTCTGAATTTCTATTAAATATGTTGCCATTTTGTCTCAATTACAGATACGAGCAACACAAAGGCATAAAATAAATAAAATTCACAAAAGCTGGATAGAAAAAGTCATACTCATCAGGAAAATCTTCGGTAGTTGCTGATTCTCTAAGAAATGACCACATTAACCTCATCATCTTGCAAGAGAAATTCCTTTATGTCCTAAGCTGATGACAGATCACAGTAATTAAGTGTAGGGAGTCCACTTAATCGTCTTCACCGAGTCTGAAGAACTAGCCCGTGCTTTAACTCTAGTCCCAAGTGCATGCCCCACTCCATACTACCATTCAGTCATAATCATCTCTTCTTTTCTCCTGGTATTATATATGGAAGAGAAAATTTTACAAGTAGTGATCGAATCATCAGATGTCTTTCAATTGCAGCAGTTACATAGCCTAGTTATTCATTCTGGACTACGAATTTTTTAAAATTTACCTTCATCCAGATGCTATTAAATCCTTCCATTAATCATTAGCTAGAGATGAGATAAGATGGCCCAGATAGATAGAGTTAAACTGTTTATAAATAAGAGGAGGTAAGGAATATGCTAAAATACAACACAAAGGTGAGCTCTCAGAGGGTACTGATTATTGTTCGTTGAAGTTTTAAAAGAACAGTCAAGAGGAGTTGGGGCTTGGGCTGGATAATGCAAAGGATAACCTCAGAGGGAGAGCAGAGGAGTGGTTTTAAGGTAAGAAAAGGTATGAACACCATGGCTAGACTCCAAGGGAACTCAGATTGGTTTAGAAAAAAGGTTAAGGCAGGCAGGCAGGCCTGAATAGATTTATATTTTATTTTATTTATTATTTTTTTAATAGAGAGATTTTTGCTGTAGGGTATGTGCACTCAGAGACACACAGAGAGACAGAAAGAAAATGAGTAATTATCCCTCAGGGGAAATGGCCATGCCACTGCAATCCCTTCTCCTTCATTCCTCTTGGGATTTGGGCATGCATGCACATGCACCCTGCATGAGTTTCAAGTAGCTGGAATGACACTTGAACTGCAGTTGGCCCTGTGGGAGTCTAACACCTTAACCACTATGCCACCTGCTGGCCCCCTAGGCCTGGATAGTTTTAAGGGGTGTTTGAGGAGCAACAGAATTGATATATTACTGGGAAAGACCAGATGATGAAGATAATTGAACAGGCCAAGAGTTGATCCTGGAGTTAATATGCTGAGTAATTCGAGGTTTACATCAGAGAGAAAAGAATGGGATTAGAGAAACAGGAGTGTATCCAAAGGCTCTGGGGTTCTTGAGGGCATCCATTAATAGTCTGCTTTCTTACCTAAAGTCTGAGTATCCTGATACCGAGTTTGCATGCATTACTATTGGTATGCATTTGAAATTATGGAGTATGCCTCTGGAATTTTTCATTGCCCAGCACCTAATAACAACTCCCCAAATTTAAGTGATATGACAAATATTTTCATGACTGTTATGAACTCTTTAGTTCCATGGTCTTGGATAAATCACTTAATCCTTTCAGTTTTGGTTTCACCATTTATGCAATGAAGAGGCAGCAGTATTTTCTAATCTTATATATAGAATTCACATCCCAAATATGTCTGCACATTAGTTGAGCAAGGGACAAAATCTGTAGCTTAGATTGCTTCACTCATGGCCACCTATCCCCACTACTTTGGAGCACATAATTATTTAGTTAAGAAAAATAACTGATGTTTGACAAGAAAGAAAGAATATTGGTCTAGTTTATTTTTTAGAGTGATGATGGAAAGTAAAAATAACCTGTAAGTTAGTAAGCTATACTGCCATAAATACTTCACATCAGTAAAAGAAGTCATCAGACCCCATGTCATTCATAACATGAAATGTACAAAGCAAATAGTTATCTTTTTAAAGATTTTAATACATACTTAAAAATGGACAATTTAGTATTACATGGTTATGTAACATTGATACTGTTAGATATGTGGATGTATATATTTTTCTTTTCAGTAAAATAGTTTCATGCTTATAAAAGTCACCCTAGGTTAACTTAAGACAAAGACAACATACAGTAGAAATAAACCAAATAGTAAATAGGGTATAGGTAAGGAAAAAACATTATAAAGCAGTAATATTGTTGACACAAAGAAAATAAATAAATACACTTTTCTATTATTTGAAGGCAATTCACAATCATTTCCAGGAATTCTGTGAGAATTTAAGGCCATTTGTTCTAAAGAAATGCTTTAATTAAGACACAACTTCACAAAACTGTAATTCTTGTAAAAACTGTACATGCAAAAACTCTTTACAATTAATTGTGGACAGGCAGGTCAGTATATAGGAGTAGGTTATTTCACAAATGTGTTGTGCACTAAGTCACATCATTGTATATATTGAACTGGGAATTTCACAAAAGACTTCCAGTCTGTGCACCCTGCGTGGCAACGTGGAACAGTGATAACAAAGAATCCCAATCAAGAGAGCCAGTATCCCTTTGAATTAAAATATCTAGACAAAAAATAATGGAATAAAAAGTTTAAAACATCTGCTACATGGTTCACAGTTAAGTATTCTTGGTTTTAGTCTTTCTAAATAGCATTATGAGGATGCTACTTTTTACACAAGTTATTTTCTGTGCACTTACAGTTCACAATGTTTGACTTTTTATTATTTCTACTTAGTGTTACAAAACACAAACTGACTGAGGTCTAAATTTAGAACCCAAACTCCATGAAAAATGCATGTTCTTACAGGGCACATCTGCTAAGCCTAAACTCCCATACTCGGCAAACATTACAGAGAAACTGATTACTAAGCAGATGTGGCTTCTTAAAAGACAATTCGGTTACTAAGAAATATGAAAGCATCTTTCTCTCCCTTATTTGCAATTGCATTTGTCCAGACAGTCATTCAAAGAGATATTGCTCTTGTAATTATAGCTATTGCAATTTAGAAGACAAAGGATTCAATATTCAAAACTCTTATTCTTAAGAACAGTTATAAAAGTATTGAAATTTAAAAAGTAGTACATGTAAACATTGATACAGAGACTGCTTTCCTATACATGTAGCAGCCGAGGACAATATTTGAGTTAAAAACATAGTTTGTGCTTTTTCCCAACAATACATTGGAAATTAGCTGTTTCTGTCCAAAGGAAAAAAGAAAAAAGAAGAAAAAAAAAAATCAGAGATTCAGAGAAGACATCCATACTTTGCTTCAAGCATTCAAACAACTTTTCTGTTGCTCATGCAACAACCGTATGTACAGTTTTGGTTTAGGAAGAGAATGAATTTTGGATCCAGGAAAGCACAATTACCAGTACTGCTGAAACCAAACTGAGAAACGTTATCTCGGTCCCTGGTTCGTTACAGAGCACCAGGCGCAAAGCATGAAGTCAGCAGTTCTAAGTGCTGTGGGTAACGCCAGCTTTTGGGAGCACAGTCAGATCTGCGTCTGTAACACGTGTGTAGGTGGGGTATATGGGGGCGGGGCCGGTGAAGGCTTGATGCCTCGGGCTCTCATGTAGGAGAGAAACTGCTCCGGGATCTCAGCCAGGACATCTTTGGCCAGCCTAGCCATGCTCAGTATGTGGTTTCCGCTTCTGTCAATGTAATCCCTGAATGGCACAAACTGAAAAAGAGGTGAAAGAAAGTTATTTCACAGACTTGCGCAAGCTATGTCACAGACACAAAAATGATCTCAGGTGCACTCTGGTTATAGGAGAATCTGAGGCCTGGGGTAATGGTGAGATGGATAATGATTATTATACATTAAAAAAAAGATACACTAAAAATAGCTACAGCAGTGGCCAAACTTTCTAATAGATGCTTTAATGTAAAAAGAGATGTAGGGACCAGCAGATGGTCTAATGGTTTCGTTACTGGACTCCCATGTAGTCAACTATAGTGGCTTAAAACTCAGGCAGAGCACAGTGTGCGTGTGTGCCCAAAAACCTGAGAGGAGAAAAGAGAAGGGACTGTGGCATGGCCATACTCCGTGGGGTGTGATTTCTTGCTTTCTGACTTTCTGTCTCTCTCTGGTGAGTGCACGTGCCCTATAGCAAAAATCTCTCTTAAAAATAAATAAAAAGGGATGTATTTATTTTATATGTCTTCCTTCCCCCCAGTAACTCGTGTCACCTGATCCTAAGGCATTCACTATATTGCTACATGTGTTCAGCAGTTTGGGGATCTGTACAGGTACAGACTAGGACTGACACCCAGTACAATGGAGCATTTAACCTCTCTGGGGCTCGATTTCCTGTTAAATGGAATTAACACATGCCTACTTCAGCTTCTGATGCAAAACTACGCAATACAGTACAAGAAACATGAATCAGCCATTTCAGAGTCAAACAGAACAAAACAAAACGAAAACTAATGCATATTGTTAGAGTTCTAAATAGATTAGTTTTTAACTATTCGAGTATGAAATCACATGGACAATCAATATAAAATTCACATCACTCATATCAGTAGTGACCTGAATATTCAGTACATTGAGTTTTGCCCCAGATACTAATTTTTTTTTTTTGAGAGGTTTTTGCTATAGGGCGTGTGCGCTCACCAGACAGACAGAGAGAGAGAGACAGAAAGCGAGAAATCACCCCTCAGGGGGGATGGCCACACCACAATCCCTTCTCCTCCATTCTCCTCTCAGGATCTTGGGCACACATGCACAAGTGCCCGGCGTGAGTTTTAAGCCACTGAGTCCGGGACACGAACCGTGGTCGACTATGTGGGAGTTCAGCGACATAGCCATTACGCTAACTGCTGGTCCCAGATACTATTTTTTTTTTAAAAACAGTTATTATTTGGGAAGAAAAAAAAGGTTTAGCATGACATTTTGGTATATTTCTTATTGAAATAGCATCATTTAAATTTTTCTATCATATAAAAATGGTTGCTCTCTCTTTATATAAGTAATTACATGAGTACTCTTATCAGCTCTACACCACATAATCTGGCAAAAGCTTGCCTGATTCCATTCTCATTTATAATGGTTACTTAAGTTAATAAACACTGTGCTGTTGGAGGGCATTAGTTCAATTTCCCCTTAAGGACTTGAAGATTCTTGAAGCAACTTGAAAATGATTGGAACTGCTAATGTTGTGATAGTTTGGAGCACAGTAATTTTAGGTCTAAAGAGAAGAGACACAGCAAAGACATTTTAGCATGTTGAACAATTTCTGAGAATAGTATTTAAAAGTTGGAATTAAATGTGTATTTCTTGCAAAGAATGATAGCAAGAACATTCTCATCTTGTACTATAACATAACTGTTTTAAAAGCATTTTGAAAATTTTGCTTTTGATTTAAATAGTTACTCAAGATGTGCTTTCAGAAAACAACTGTTATTAGGCAGCAGCTTAAAAATGATCAGGTCGCTACAGGTAAGCCAAGTGAAAATGTAAAGGAATCAAAGAGCAGGTGCGATGCCTTCATGCAGTGAAAGTAGTCTCTTTTTAGGGAAGAGTAGAAAACTACTCTTTTCTTTTGAAAAAGGCATTCTATAGGCAGGAGAACACTTACAGGACTATAATTTTATCCTGTCTTGCAACCAGGAGGAAATCTCAGAGCAGCCTTTCGAAACATGTGATAGAAAGGTGATATATCTTTCTCTTTAAGAAAAACTAACAGTGAATATAATCCTCAGCTGAGGAAGGAACACAGTGAATGTGAACTTTCATGAAGTCATTCTGTCTAGCTTTGGACAAGACTTGATATTTTTAACAAAATAAACACAAAAAAGGGATAAAAATCAAGTTAAGTTTATTTTTTCCCCCAAAATTATAATTTGAAGAGTGAAATACTAGAAATCAGCATGGCTAAGGTTTAACGAGGAAAAGGTATCTAGTTGTAATTGTAGTTTACTTAATTTTTATTTTAAAAGGCATGGTGCTTTAAAAATTAACAGTAATGTTGGTGCAATGCAAATGAACAGCTTTCTTTTAAACTTCTTTTTTTTTAAAAGAAGAGTTCTGTTTTTGAAAAATATGTTGTTACTATGTACATTTCAGGAAAACAGCATTCCTTATGGAAAACAGTTGGTTTTTGTATTTTTTAAATAACTGTTTATTTGATTTTATTATTACTTTTAAATTTGACCAGAGAGAGAGAGAGAGAGAGAGAAAGTGAGAAAGAGACAGAGGAGCACCCGCCAGAGGGTCCTGTCATGCTGCAATCCCCTTCTTCCAGTTCTCCAACCCATCAGACCTTGCACACTCATGTGCCTGTCTGGCGTCTTTCAGGCTGCCTGTGCCGGGAACTTGAACTGCGGTGCTTGCCATGTGGGATTTGGCTTCTCTTGAGCATGCATTACCACTGTCCCAGGCGATCAGCCTCAGACTTAATCTCTTACCCCACCCCCCTATTCTCACAAGTGCTGCAGTTGGATTTCTCAGGTTCCAGACCTGGTTCTGCTTCTTGTTATCTGCAATATTTTAGATGAGTTATTTTCCACTCTTTGCCTCAGTTTCCTCTGTTTTTAAATGGAGATAAGATAATAATTATAGTATCTACCTTGTTAGATTTTCTATTAAATAAATTGACACAGAAGGTGCTTAAAACACTGATAATATATACTATTAGGTTATAGGGAAAGTCATGACCTATTTTCTATGCAAAAATGCAGCTATAATTATCATTGCTACTACTATTACTATTTATCAATTTATACATTCATATAATCAACATGAAGCTATTTTCATAATCGTTTTCTATCTACATTAATAACAAACATTAAATACAAAGAACATTCTTTTCAATTTTCTCTCAAACTTAAGTACAATATCAGTGAATCAAAAATAGTCCTTTCTGAATTTTTGTTATTTAAAAACATTTGTTTCACTTTTCCTGGCAAGTGGTATAGAATTTTCTTTTTAAATCAAAGTAAATTAAGATTTATTTTTAAGAATTCTATGGTACTCTGGAGCTCAAGGCTCACAACTGTTGTTCTCACAACTCATACACTTCTGCTCATCTTTCAAAATATGTGTATAGATAATGGAAAGGAAAAAAAATTTTTGTTGTTGGGTGGGGACACAGAGTCTGATGTGCCACTTGACCATGAGGAGGCCCAACTGTCAGAGCAAGTTGGTGAGCATTCACTGTCAGAACAAGCCACTGCTATTGATAGGAGTGGACTTCATCCCCCCTGGATGCTGGAGATAGAAGACAAGATTGAGAATTCCTAACTCACTAACCTAAATTATCTAAACCTTTGTCAAAGAAACATTCATTTCTCCAGTAATGTCATGAGGTACATTATGAGAACTGAAAATGGCAACTGATTTCATTTTACCACTTATTAGTGTCAACTCTTATAGTTTTTACTACAAAAAATTCCCTTCTTCTTCTTGGATATATCCTCTGCCATGATAGTTTTCCACTCTGCTCTCTCTGTTTGTCTCTTTTAATCACTCATTTTTGATTCCTCTACCTGGGGAGCTCTTATTCAAAATAACTCCAACACATTTGTGAGTGCATGTTGACCATGAATTATCTTGGTTCCTTAAAATGTTCAATTTAGAGGGAAAAAAAATCAACTTTCACTTTGCACTAATTTATCACATTCATATGAAGAATACCAGTAAATGCATTCTGGTCTGTAGAAAATACAGTATCTTTGATACTCTGCATCTTTTTTTCAGCATTTGCCCAGGGTAAGGCAAGCGTTCCACATGGCCACTTTAATGGTTGGCTTTGCTTATTTGTAAAAACAAGTTTGACTCAGTTTGGGCAAATGGGCTTTTAGTTGCTGTTCTGCTCAATTTTTCTTGATTGTTCCTACTGGGCAGAGCTCCATTAGTGATTTTCAAGTCTAAGCCTTCAAGGTTATTATTCTTCTTTTAATGGAAAATATGATTTAAATATAATTTTTAAGGAAATGATAGGCCAGCCAGCAGCTGCATGGATCCTGGAGGAATGGCACTGCCTTATACACAGTGGCCAATCCCTAGCACCAACAAATAGGAAGCTTTTACAGATATTGACTTAAGAAAATAACTCATTAAAGTTTTAGCATAACAACCATAGGAACTCATTCTGCTTACTCTTTACACATATAAGATTGAACCCTGAGGCAATGAGACATAATCCTACAAAAAAACTGACTATAGTGTCACACATCAAGGCACAACAACTGCTAATGAAATAGTGACTAAAAAAATGCCTTCCTGGGGCCAGTGAGTGGTGTAGTGGTTATGGCCCTGGACTCCCACATGGTCAATTGCAGATTCCTGGGATGCAGTGGCTTGAAAATCACATTTCGCATGTTTGTGTGTGCACCCAAAATCCCAGGAGGAGAATGGAGATGGGACTGTGGCATGGTCATCCTCCTGGAAGGGTGGTTTCTCACTTTCCCTCTTACTATCTCTCTTTGATGAGTGCACGTGCCCTATGGCAAAAACCTTAAAGAAATGACTTCCCATTGGACTGTACTAAAATACTAACTAATAATAATAACTGATGCTGACACTAATGCATTTTCTGAGCAACTGTAGGTGGGAGGCTTTCTGCAAAGGGATTCAGTACAATATCTCACTTAATTTTCAAAAATGCCTTATCCATATTTTTAATTTACATAAGAGAACACTGAAACTTAGTTAACTTATCCAAGATCAGACAGTAA